TCTATTTTTGGATGTAATCTCTTTTCATTTACTGTTCTATGCATTAGGCAGTCGTGGATTGTTCTAATCATGAATTGCCTTCATGTATATCCATTTAGCATTTGGTGAAATTACATCTTCCGCCATTAAGTAGCATTCATAGAATGTATATTAAAAAAAGTAGCATGCATGGAATGTAAATGGAAATTTTAGCTATAGCTAATTAGCCTGTACCCTCTGGAAGGGTGGCTCATCCCTTCCCATTTGGGTATTTATTTTCAGATCCATTTCTCATTGTTGATCAGTGCATATTTAGGTGACTTATCCCATCTTGAAGTGGTCTGTGGTGACTTCTCACCTATGGGTGTGTTGGAGATTCTCAAAATCACTGTTGTGACATTTTGTCTATATAACTTTAGTACTAAAGATACATGTCAAGCACCACCACTATAAACACAATAGTGCTCAAGTTGAGTTCAAGTGGGTTTTCAAGGTGGGAATGGGAAGATAGGAGGCTGCTAAATAGAGAAGTGAAGATGGTGGAAGTGGTGAAGAAGAAAGAGGGGGTGAAGGAGGAGCAATTCATTTTTTTCGATAGGTCCTTAATTAGAACCAACTTGGGGTTCCAGGAAAGAAGTTGATGGCAGAGAAGTGGAGGATCTAGATGGCTACTTATTTTTTCTTCAATAAAAAATATTAAGTCAAGAAATTGGAGAAACCCACAATGATTATGTAACTTTTTTTTTGTTCAATATATGGATGGCGATTATTTTGTTAGAGGCTCACTTAGTACCAAGGTTCAAATACGGAACATATAAACTGGCATATAATGGATTGGCTTTATAATTACAGAATCATCATTTGTACTTTTTATATGCATAGTAGACAGGGTGCCTTTTTGGTAAACAACATCATGGTGGCAATCTATGCTTACTTTTTTGTAAGTGAAGATGGTGTTCTCCCTGCATGACATGTGGTGATTTTTTCTTTTCCCAAGACGGAAATGAAATTGTTTCAAAGAATTAATTATATTTCATACGACACGGGTGTCCACCTACAAAAGAATGACAACAGACATTTGGTACAATTCCTTTTAGACCCTCATCTTTATAGGGAAATCTCCTTCTCTTCTTAGGGCCTAGCATCTCTTACTTTCTTCTTTCATCTCCAACAAGAAGAGACAGCTTTGGGCACTTGTTTCTTATTCTTTTTATGTCTTTGCACTTTTTTTTTTGGTTAAAAATATATCTTAATGAAAAGAATTAAGTGTAAAAAAAGGGGAAAAAGACTGAAAGGAAATGGATAGGTGGACCGCCCAGATCAAAACCCTAAAATGAAGGGTCAAATTTTTTTCTGTTTTAAAATTGGTTACTGTTCAGGACAGCTGGTGGTCTCAGTAGATTCCAGAGACCACCTTCTCCATTTTCTTTTACTCTCCTGCATGTGTATAAATTTCCAATACCTGCACACAATAAAAAAGGCAGAAAATTAAAGAGCATTAAATACTCCATATTCACCTGGTTGGGTTTCTTTACATGATATCAGAGCAGTGCCTGTGATAAGCACTGATTTCTTTGATTTTTACATTACACTATTATTCTACTACTCAATGGCAAACCCTAATACAGATGTGTTGACACTCCTAAACTCGGATCAGCATGGAATGCAACTTGTCACAACCACCCTTGATGGCTCCAACCACTTGTCTTGGAGCCGAGCCATGGTGATTGCGTTTAGAGCTAAGGACAAGCTCGTTCTCGTTGATGGCAGATGCAAAAAGCCCGAACCTGATGCAGCAGAATATGAATAATGACACAAAACAGACAGCATGGTGGTGTCTTAGATCCTAAACTCGATGAATAAAGAGCTCGCTAACGCCTTCCTGTTTACCACATCAGCAAAAAACTTGTGGGATGAAATAAAAGAGAGGTATGGTGAAAGCAACAGGCCTTTGTTGTATTAATTAAAACGTGAAACAAGTTCTATAACGCAGTTTAACCTTTATGTCACAGCCTATTATACAAAACTCAAAAGGCTATGGGATGAGTTAACTCACCTAAGACCCTCACCTGCTTGCACTTGCCATGCTGCAACACAACACAGTGAAATAGACAATACCGACAACCTGTTCCAATTTCTAATGGGTCTTAATGACTCATACGACCATGTCAAAAACCAAATATTGATCATGGAACCCTTACCCGGTGCGAATAGAGCTTATTCGATTGTGATTAGTGTTGAAAAACAAAGAGAAGTACCAATATCAACTCACCTGAAGGGACGCCCGCTGCATTTTATACCAACTTGAAAGACAATCCAAAATTTTCAAACCGAAAAAAGGAAAAAGACAGCAGGACATGCACTTATTGTAGAAACACAGGGCACACAAAGGACACATGCTTCAAGCTTCATGGCTACCCAGAATGGTTTGCAGAACTCAAAGAGAAAAGGAACAAAGAAAAAGCCAATGTAGTGGCAAACAATGCTCCCAATGGCACCAAAACAGAAGCATCCAACACAAATTGGGGCACAGAAATGACCACACTCATACAAAAAGAGATCAACAAGTACATGAAAAACCAATGAGCAAACACGGCTGAGTCGGCAGGATGAGTGGACTACTCTGACTCCACTGATAAGTAACCTAAATGCTATTTTTTACATGCCTCTAATGATATAGGAACTTGAATAATAGATACAGGTGTCACATCACACATATGTTATGATTTTAAAATACTTTCAAAACTCGTAAAACTAGTACCTACAGTGCCTATCTCGCTACCAGACAGAACTACGAGTCATTCAACCCACAAAGGAACCATAAAACTGTGTGATAATCTAATTCTACTGGATGTCCTCTATATATCAAAATTCACTTGTAACTTTATTTCTGTCAGAAAGTTAACCCAAGCTTTAAATACCTACATTTCCTTTCATCCCAACCATTGTTTTGTACAGGATTTGACAATTAACAAAATATTGAGAAAGGGAACAATAATGAAGGGTCTGTACACCCTGAGTGAAGACATAGACTCTAACAAAGTATGCATCAGCCACACTCAAGAAAATAACCTACAACTATGGCACAAAAGGCTCGGCCACACATCCATAAAAAAATTGATTCACATCCCCAGTCTAAAGTTACCAGGCAATGCAGCTTTACATGATTGTGAAATATGCCAATTGGCAAAACAGCAGCGTTTGTCTTTCCCTAAAAGTTTCATAAATACCAACGACATTTTTAGTTTAATACATATTGACCTTTGGGGACCATACCCGGTCAATTGTATTTCTGGTGCACTCTATTTTTTAACCATAGTTGACGATTTTTCAAGAGCCACTTGGATTTATTTATTAAAAGAGAAAACGAGTGTACCAAATATCTTAAAATATTTTTGCAATTTAATACAAAACCAATTTCAGAAAACAATCAAAACAGTTAGGACAGATAATGACATTGAGTTCATAAACACCTCATGTAAAACTGTTTTTCAAGAAAGGGGAATCATGCATCAAAAAACTTGTACATACACACCATAGCAAAATGGTGTGGTGGAAGGGAAACATAAACACCTACTGCAAGTTGCTAGGGTATTGATGTTTGAATCAAAATTACCAAAAAGGTTTTGGAACGAAGCCATACTCACAGCCACACGCATAATAAACGTTTTGTCAAGTTCTATTTTAAAGTGAAAAATTCCTTATGAAATTTTGCACAAAAAACAGCCAAATTACTCAAATCTAAAAGCCTTTGGTTACCTATGTTTTGCTACAAATATTAACCTCCAAAAGGACAAGTTTGAATTCAGGGCTTTGAAATGTGTTTTCTTAGGGTATGCACCCGATGCTAAGGCCTACAAATTATATGATATAATAAACAGAAAAACGATTTTGTTAAGGGATGTCATATTTCATGAACATATTCTCCCATACCAAATACAACATTCTAAACCAGATTACCATGACACACCACTGCCAATACCAAGCATCGATACAGTAATCACACTTGAAAACCAGTTACAAAGAAGAGAAGAAATTCTCTTACCAAACATCATTCCCCAAGAGTCTGAAATGAGGAGGAGCATCAGGGTGAGAAGCAGGTCCGCCTGGATGGAAGACTTTGTTGCCCATACAATCGAACAACCTGTGCCCGAACCTGCCTTCCTCGTCCACCTCACCTGCATACAATAATGGCTATGTTAATTTCATTGCACAAGTGTTTATTACGAATGAATCAATGTCATACAGGGATACTAAAAAAGACAGCAAGTGGGTTGAGGCCCTGCAAGTTGAGCTGTTCGCACTAGAAGACAATAACACTTGAAAACTAACTGCATTGCCAAAAGGGAAGAAAGCAATCGACTCAAAATGGGTGTATAGAATAAAATACAATGCTGATAGATCAGTTGATAAATACAAAGCAAAACTCGTGGCTAAAGGTTACAACCAAGAGTTTGGCCTAGACTATCATGATAGCTTATCACCAGTGGTCAAAATAGTCATGGTTCGACTGCTTTTAGCTATGGCAGCCACAAGCGACTGGCCAGTATATCAGTTAGATATCAATAATGCGTACCTACATGAGTTTGTAGAAGATGAGCTATACCTAAAATCCCCAAAGGGCTACTTCAAGGCCAGTGAAGGGTAAGTCTGCCGTTTAACCAAGAGTTTGTATAGTCTGAAACAAGCAGATCGCCAGTGGAACAAGGAGCTTACTTCAAAGCTTCAATCCATCGGCTTCACCAAGTTAGAAGCCGACCACTATCTATTCACAAAAGGAACAAAAGGAAACTACGTTACAGTTGTGGTATATGTGGATGACTTACTTGTTACGGGTCCTAACAACGAAGAGATTTGTGAAGTGAAAAGCATCCTAGATGAAGCCTTCACGGTCAAGGACCTCGGTCAAGCAAGATACTTCCTTGGAGTCGAGATAGCTAGGTTAAAAGAAGGAATCTACATCTGCCAGAGAAAATATATTAAAGACATTTTACAAGATACAAAGATGGAAGATGCAAAAGGAATCCACTTTTTCCTACCTTTCGGACTAAAACTAAATGCAGAAAAAAGAGAAATCTTACCAGATCCAGAAAGGTACATACGTCTAATCGGCCGCTTGCTCTACCTCAACTTTACCAGACCCGACATAACATACTCCAGCCAACATCTCAGTTAGTTCATGCAACAGCCCAGACGGCTGCATCTCGACGCCGCACTACATGTTGTCAGGTACCTAAAGCAATATCCGGAGCAAGGCATCTTCTTCCCGAGAAGGAATAACCTTAAAGTTCAAGTCTTTTGTGACTCGGACTAGACATCGTGTCTGATGACCTGCAAATCCCTCACGGGCTTCTGTATCCTCTTTGGGCCTGCACTAATTTCCTGGAAAACAAAGAAATAAACTACGGTGAGCAAGTCTTCCGCAGAAGCTGAGTACAGAAGTATGTCATCCACAATATGTGAAGTTCAGTGGATAACCTATTTTCTTCGAGATTTTCTAATAGTACCTCACTTATCCATATTACTGAACTGCGACAATAAAGCCACCGAGCATATCGCAGCAAATCCGATCTTTCACGAACGAACGAAGCACCTCGACATCGATTGCCACATAGTTCGCAAACAGGTACAAAAGGATTTCGTCGAAACGCAACACGTCACCTCGAGAGAACAGCTCATCGATATGCTTACGAAACCTTTAGGAACCTCAGCACATCACCGACTTCTGTTCAAGATGAAGCACCTGCAACAAGAAAGCACAAAGGGTTAAAGAAGTAGTGGTGAGGAACTTGAAATGTCGAAAGTGAACAGGCTTCATCTTGAGTAGCGGATTAAAAGAATTAAGTGTAAAAAAAAAAGAGAAAAGGCTGAAAGGAAATGAACAGGTGGATCGCCTATATCAAAACCTTAAAATGAAGGGGCAAGATTTTTTCTGTTTTAAAATTGGTTATTGTTGGGAACAGCTGATGGTCTCAGTAGATTTCAGAAACCACCTTCTCCCTTTTCTTTTACTCTCCTGCATGTGTATAAATTCCCAATGCCTCCATACAATAAAAAAGGCAGAAAATTAAAGAACATTAAATACTCCATATTCACCCGATTGGTTTCTTTACACTTAACATTAATTTTTTCTTGGTGTATAAGAAACTATGTGAAAAGGAAAGTAAATTGAGAAAGATTTCTGCTTTTGGGGTTGAATGCCTGTTTCCGAATCAAAAGCTGTTTGAATTGAGTTGCAGTAAGGACTCCAGGTAATTCCTTCAATTAGCAGGATATCACTTCTATCAGTAGGTATACATGAAACTTTTGTGCTCCTGCTTTTCGGGGAGGAACTCTGAATGTCACCATAGTACCCGTTCGGTCTCCTAAAATCTATTCTGAATCATTTCCCATCATGCCGCAAAGAAGTAGTGTATTTGGAAAAATTATCATTATTATTATTTTGTAAACTCAATGATTTCTGCTGTAGGTTTAGCTAAATCTCTATGTTTGGGTTTTTTCTGTTCGTAGTGCTTGTACAAGCAACTAGACAAAAAGGAGTGTTTATTTTTGTGGAAAAGGAAGGATTTTTCAACTGATGCCACTATACATACTACTATATGATTCTATTTAAGTAAGAAAAGAAGCACTCTGATCCCTTCACCAAGACAAAAGCCCACAGCATCCTGTGATTTTCGTATTCAAGGCAATATATCATCCTATTATTTTTAATTACATTACAACTGGACATAGTAAATACTCTTGCATATGTTGCTAACAGAAAATTTTGATTTAAGAAAATAAATATTTATTTATTTTTTGATTTAAAATGACTTCTGGTGAATATGCATGCAGTTATTATTTTGTTTGTATATTTCGTGCTAACTGCAGCTTGCTTCTTCTCTTATGTCAATATGCTAGCAATAAAGTTGCTCTGTGGAAGTGCCTCTAATTTGTTGTTTTACTTTTTAGAAGTCCTTAAATCATGCTAGGAGCATTTACCTCAGGTAGTGATCATTTTCTAGTAAATTGAAGAATCAAGTTTGAGTTTACTTTCCATATAAAATATAAAATCAGTTGAATCTATACATTGAGAGTTTCTGTTTTGAAGTACTCGAGAATATTTCTCCTTTATAGAGTAAGAGTTATATATATATGAGGAGTGATATAAAGCGAACAACAAAATTATTAGGATTTCTTTTTTTTTTTTGTGATTTATAATGTTTGGGCCAATTGGAACCTATCTCATATGATCAGGTCATGATTTCAGTGAGTTTGTAATTTTTTTAAAAATCATTCATAAATTGAGTGTTAGAAGATAAGAAAACATCTGTTTTGTTTTGCTCACATATTTGCCTAATGAATGTTATCATTCTATTAATAGCATAGGCATAAGTGTCTATGAAAATTTACATATGCAAAATTCTTTAGAAAAATTTAAATTGCACTTGCAAGTTTGCTGCCATTACAAGTCCATTACCAAGTCCATCTTCCAAGACTCTCAAAGTTTCTCCCTAATACTCTTTTCTCCTATATTCTATTTCCTACTGTTAAATGCTATTTTTATTTATTCTTCTACTGTTTGCTTGCCCAGGTTGCATTTCCCAGCAACCTGATATTATGCATGCTAGTTCGAAGGGCAAAAATGGAAGAACATAGTGCTCTTTCTGTTTTTGCTTTGCTTTTGACAATTTGAAAGATGCACTTCTTCCTTTTGGGGATTGAGTATACTGTTACTAGAAGAATGGAGTATATATCAAGTGTCCGTACTTTTATGGATATCTCTCAATCTTGGTGTCCATACTCCAAAGTATCGAAAACATATTTTTAAATCTCAGCTTGGATTTTACTGGTTATTTTACGTAATTTCAGGTGGCCTGTTCAGGTCCATATTGATCTTAATTTCAACCCTGTTTACTCCATATTCATGTCAGTTTTGTCTTTAACATTGCATTAGGAAAATGGCCTCAAATGCTGCATTAGCTCTCTATCTCTTGCTTTGACTTCCAGCCAAACTTAGTGTTAATTTCTTGGTTCTAATGTTTTAGTTATCCACCATTTTGTTGAGTTTCAGCAAAGTTATGTCAAAATTACCTTTCTTGATACCTCTCTATGGCTTTTGTACCTTGGCAAGTTGGAGTGGGCAAAAACTCATGCCCTGGTTACCTCTTTGTAGGAAATTCCCACATTATCTGGTCATAATTCTCACTATGTTGGCTGTTAGGTTTAATTCTGAACTCAGGAAGCTATCTTACATTTTTTACATTTTCCTTTTTTGTTCTTGTTTTTTATATTGTAGGGTGGGAATTTTGATTGAATTGGAAGAAATATGGAAGCAACCCAGATGCCTGATGAGACCGAATCCCATCAAACACCTCAAGAAAAAAATGTTAGGGATGGGCAAATGGAACAGGGGGATAACAGCCAAGTGCGGGTTTCAGGTTCTAGATGTACACGTTCTCAGGTAGCTCCTGACTGGACAGTTGAGGACATGCTCATTCTTGTGAATGAGATTGCTGCTGTTGAAGCCGATTGTTCAAATGCGTTGTCTACTTATCAGAGATGGAAGATAATATCAGAAAATTGCACTGCACTGGATGTTCCTCGGTCTCTAAATCAATGTCGGAGGAAGTGGGGCTCCTTGCTTGTTGAGTACAACCAGATTAAGCAATGGGAATCATTGTCAAGTGGTTCTTATTGGTCTTTGGGAATTGGAAGTAGAAAACAATTTGGACTTCCGGACTATTTTGATTATGAGCTTTTCAAAGCCATTGACAATGTTGTGAGGGCACAGGAGGACAAAGCAGACACAGATCCTGAAAGTGATCCTGATGCTGAGACTGACACACTTGAAATAGTTGCACAACTAGGTAATAATTCATCTTTTGATTCCACAGTTTTCGGCATTTAATTACTTTCAGTGATGATTATCTTACATCCAAGAATGGGCTTGTGGAGTTTGCATGTTTTTCTTTTTCCAGTCAATGTAGTCTTGGTTTTTTCAGAATTCTACTTAATGGTCATTGAATGCATCTGGTCAATGGATAAACCTTAAAGAGGCGGTCTTTTATATTTACTTTGCTTCGTGCATTGTTTTACATAAATTTTCCAGAAAAGTAGATTGATGATCAATTTCTTCTCCCTGCATAAATTGTTCCGAAAAAGTGGAACAGGAACTTCTTTATTGTTTATCACATGGCAAGAGTTGTTTCTCAATTATATTAAAACATAGCCCATCAGATTTTTTCTAATTTTTTCTTATTCTTTTGTTCAAAAGCTCTAAGCTCAATTGTCTTCTCCCCTTTTTTTTTACACCTTTTTTAACAGAGTTCTAAATGAGAAAGGAGGATTTTGCATGTGAAGGTTTTTGGTTTCTCTCAGATTTGTTGGAGCATTTGTAGTTAGTTCAACTTCTGAAATTGCTGATACAAAACGTTTTCCTATCAGCCTTGGTTGTGTTTCCTTTTGGGTCTTCCACATCAGCAATAATCTTGACTATCAAGTTTCTAGTTTTCCTCTCATTTGCCACACTTGTTGTAGCAACCCTGTTTACCTCTCTTGAATTGGTTCAGAACCTTCAGTTTTCAAAGTTACCATGAGTATCATCCTTATGATTTGGTATTATCAGGATCTAATGGACCCACGAGACGGTTAAACATTATGGAACAGAAGCCTCATGAGATTCGCAAAGAAGATACGAAGCTGAAATGGTGCACAGAGAAAAGCCATCCTGGAAGGAAGCCTCAGAAAAGTTCTGCCAAAAAGAAGCTTCTGAAGAATGATATGAAGGGTAAGAGGACAATCAGCATTGAAGCAAAGGAACAAACTGTTGCAGCTTTTACTGAAGCAAAGGAACAAAGTCTTGCTGCAAAGCTACAAGAGTCTGCTGAACTGATCCATGCCATAGTTAAGGAAAACCTATCTGAGAAAGCTAAACGTGTGAATTCTACTGTGAAGAATGCTGAGGAGTTTAAAACAGATGTAATAAGACGGCAGGGCAATCGTCTTATTGCATGCCTTGGCGTAATGATAGAGAGCCTTAACCAAATTTGTGATGTTGTCCAGAATGGGGAGTAACATACAGTGGATGACATTAATGTAAGTGTTAGTAAAACATTTGTAGATGGGTTCGTTCTCATGCTAATTTTTGGGTCTTCCTATCTTATTCGGTAGGTGTAAATTCTTCAATTGGGCATGGGTGTGCCCCATGCAATCTCTGTCTCTCACACTCACATGCAAGCACACACAAAATAAGCTGTCTGTTTGGAGCAATAGTGCATGTTTAGTTTTTACTAATACTGTTGGCAAGTTAAGTCTAGCTGGATATTAAAAAAATAAAGATATTTTTAATTAAAAGTATAACGTATGATTAACTGCAAAACTTAAATGTATATTTTTGAAATTTCGGTGATTATAATTCTTTCATTAAGTTATTAATTTAGTATTTAAAAACACAAAGTAATAGTATTAACTATTAGTAATTTTATTTTAAAATTTATCAACCAATTCATCAAAACTCGTCAGGGCAAAAAAGGTACACTCCGAAAACAATGCAAAAATTCTGACTAACATTAATTTTTGTGGGTGGGGTGGGGCTAAAAAGCTTCAAAATTTGGATTTAGGAATTTCCTTCTTCGGACGACTCCACTGGGGATCGAACCCAGAATCTCTGGTTCCGTAGACCAGCGCCTTATCCATTGGGCCATGGAGTCTGGTGCACTGGAGGTTATATTAATTCAGATATGACAATGATTTATTCAATTTTTGGGAAAATCCTGTAAATAATAAATAGAGCATAACCAAAGCAGAGTTGGTTGCCAAAATGTTTTACAGTTATCACATATTACGTGTATACTCTTATTACGTGTATGTTAAGTCGTGTGTTATTTATTTTAGTGGATGCATCAATATTTTTAAGTTATACGATATATATATATATATATATTTTTCATTTTCTAATACATCTTATATATATTTTTAAACTAAATATAATACCCAATACAAATTTCATACATACCTATGTTTATATACATATATATACATATTTGATTGATAATATTTTAAAATTTATGTTCTTTTAAAAAAATCAAAATACATTAATAATATTTGCGTGCAACCTTATCAATTTGTGCACATTCTTATTCAGTCATTTACCTCGATTAGTATACTACCTGAGTCACTGGAAGCATTGTACTCATTTGAAGTATTTTTTTTTTTTTTTTTATAAAAATAAATAAATTTGGTGCAAGTTTCTTATATATATATATATATATATATATATATCTTTATAAAGAGACACTCCAACATATTTATTGATTGGTATATTACGAAGAAAAGAATCAAGAAATGGAGGAGCTTCTTCTTCTTCTTCTTCTTCTTCTTCTGGCCTGGGTTTGCATATGTTTGTTTATTCAATATTCATAATCACAAATTAAAACAAGCACTTGCAGTTCCAGTTCAATATTTTCACTCCATATTATCGTCTATCTAATGATTTTAAGTCTTCATTTATCTTAAATTTGTACATGATGATTGCCACGCAAAAAAGAAAGGTAGAGAAGAAATCCCAAGACGCAAGGATCTGGCTAAGACAAAACTACCACCTTACTCAGTATCCACATCACCAAAGAGAACTCAAATGCAAACAGCGTATGAAGCAGTCCACGATCCAGTGCATATCCATACAGTGTAATCCCCCCATTGTTGTGTCGAAGATAATCAACTGCAATACATATATACACACGCACAGCATCCTCAACGTTCAATTCAAAATAATTATATGTATATATGAGAAAAGTGCTGATGAAATAGATACGAATTTACATATATACTGACCTAGAGCTTGCCTGGTTTGGTAAAAGGCAGAGTCTTGTGATGACACCGTACAAGGGAAAATGTCAGAGGAATCAGAGTCGGTATCTCCGCCGTCTGAGTCTCGTGGAACATGAAGTTTGGGTTCGTCTGATCCGGCGGAGGAGCCACATGAGACGCTCATGTGCCATCTGGTTGCCACCGACACTATGCCCTGCGCTCTGTGTGTGATTCTCGCCGCACCCAACAAGCACAAGAAGAACCCACTCAGCTGCGCCGCCGAACACACCTGCACTCACCCATCTCCCAGAGCATCATTTTAATTAAACCCATTGTGGATTTCTACAAGATGGTTCAATATTATATAAATTTACTTACCACGAGATCACCGGAATTCAGGAAGCTTTTATCGGACTTGGGAATGAGAACCAGTAACAAGGCTGCAAATTGACTGACAGTGATCACAACAGAGCACGTAATAATGAAGAACCGATACCTATGACTGGTAGCTGATAACTGTTTCTTGATTCTTACATGCTCCCTAAATATCACTCCCACATCCGACCCACGTCCCTCGAACATCTTGTGCAGTCCTCCGAATCTCAGAATCTGTAACTCACAAGTTAACCGGAAGAGCACGCAAACGAGCAAGAAAACTCCTGTTCGGTAAACCCACGAAACCAGAACCAGCACAAACATGGTGGAATTCAAAGGAAACCCAGAACTGATGTTCACGTAAGGCAGTGATATTTTCACAGAGGAGAAGAATATGATCTTGTGAGCGAGCTCGACGAAGAAGGAGGGTAGAAGAATGCAGGCCAAGTAACGAAACGCCCTGTCGAGTTCACGAGTATATCCTCGCCGGACAAGTATAGAGTCGTCCTGGAGGCCGTCGAGGAACAAGAGTTGACGGAGACCGTATTTTTTGAAGAAACGAAGAAGAGTTAAGAAAGCGATTGCGGCTAGTCCTGACTCGGGGAACTGAGCGAGAAGGTTGAAGGAGAAGGAGTAGTCGTCGGCAGGTTGGGTTTTTACGGAGAGACAGCTTACGATGGGGACGATAATGGTGAGGAAGAAGAAAACAAAGTAGGAGACTAATTTTCCAGCGCAGGAAGAATGATCGAGTGCACACCATTTGAGACTAATTCGAAAGTTGCGCAAGTCATCAAAAAGTGAAGATTTTGATCTTGCATAGGATGGTTGGAGAAGTAATGGCATTTGATGTTGGAGGAGTTGATGATCATGATCATCTGGAGGAAACTGGATTTGGATTTGGGTGTGAGCGTCATCCGTTGAAGGGTTCATAATCTGAATGAATGAAGGATGAAAATGGAGGTGAGAGGTGTTTATATGGATACAAGTGTGGTGTTGGAATCAGCAAGGAGCCTGTGGGAGAGGCAAGCTTTTTCGTGTTAAGCAGAAAGTGACAGCTTACACCATATGTTGCTTCCATCTTTCCCTTTCCTAATTATGCTTTAATCTGCTGCACGTTTATTAGTGTTCTCTAAATACAAGAATCAAGTCAATGTAAATGATTTACCCTCAATATAATCTACTGATTATAGGGTCAAGAGTTCAACAACCAAACTCAAGGATGATACATGGGTATGGTGATGAGCAGAAAATTTAAATATAATCCTTAGCTTTTAGTAAATTTAGACTTCACGTACGCATCAAGTGTAAATTTAACAAAAACTTAAATGTTTAATGTCAATAAAATTACGAACAAAATACATACAAATTTAAGTTTAGGAAAATATTCTTTTTACGATTAATGTTGAAAAGAAATTATTAATTACATTGTTAATAATTTAGTTTTTACACTGAATTTCAGTCATGTTTTAGTTAAACCTCTTTTTATATATAATAAATTTCAATTTATTCTTTCTAGATTGCTAATAATTTAAATATATCTACACATGATAATTTGTTTATTATTCCAATTAGATTGAAACTCTTTTAAAAAACCTTTTTTTTTGTAAAATCCAATAAAAAAAAATCAATTATATAGGATCATCGCCTGAAGAAAGAATTTTTTCAGTTCAAATTGAACCAGGGTTTTAGCATTTTCAGATCAATCGGCCGGAGACGATGAAGATTCCAAAGCTGGAAAAGATTGATGGTAATTCGACGCCGTAATTGAAGCAAACTTGGGCCGAAGAAGGCTGGATTACTCCGTTTTCTGGGTTGATTGAAGCTTAAAATCTGCGTTGTCGGATTGGATGAGTAATAGAGCTTGACGACGAAGACTACGAGACAACTGCCACACGCGCAGCCGCCGTGTCGGAAGGGGCGCTGTAACGGCCCCGAAAATTTAAATAAAATATATGTGTTAAAAATGTCAAATGCGGAAGCGTGATAAAAATTTTGACTAACATCCCTTACACAATAACCAAAATGTACTCAAAATATGAAATTACAAACTAACTAAAAGAGAAACTCGAAAATAAAAACTATAAATATAACTACGGAGTCTTTAGGCGTCCCATTCGCCTTCTTCCTACGGAACGGCCTCGGGAACAATGTCTTCCAGATCTGAAATGGTTAAATAAGGAATGAGCTACACCAGCTCACTAAAGACATTACACTATCTCACCGCCACGGAGGTAAAGGTGGGTAGAAAACACAAAAAGACCAATGGAGTATAATTTATAACAAATTCTTTTATCAAAAATAAAATCCTTTACTGTACACTTATCTCGGTGAAGTTCATAAAACAACATACGAAAGCAATAACATTATCATCATCATGAAATCATATGGACTGTATAACATAATACTTACCACACCTTTGCATTTCAATCATTACACAATATATTTTTCCTCATTTACCAGCCAACTAGTATCCATGGGGATCCATAGGGGTCCCGCTACCCGTGAACCCTTAACACTTGTAATCAGATTCAAGGGTCGTCCCCATACCCCGTCCGGTATGGGCGCCAAAACCATAAACCTCAATACCCCGTCCGGTATGAGGGTGAAACGGGCTGTCCCCATACCCCGTCCAGTATGGGCGCCAAAACACATAAGGTCTCCATACCCCGTCCGGTATGAGAGACCACAATCCCGGTAGGGTTCCCTACGGACCCGGTCCATCCACCATCTCTCAGGATATCTAGTCAGGCTGACTACATTATCCAATTATCAATTTACGTAACCTTTTATTCCCTTTTTCCTCAGTCAACATCATCAAGTCACACACAAATAAGCAAACCAGTAATTTATGCCAAACAAGACAACACACAACATCGGGTTCTCAGTCGTTCAATCCATAATCAATAAAACAGTGATATATACACACGAAACTATGAAATAAAAACATCATACCTCATACTGCATTTAAAACTGTAAAATAGGACAAACAACAGCTGACCGACAAACACACCAGACTCGGGCTCCATTAGCGACCTTAAACAATTTCACACATCTATTGATTCATGAAATACCGTTTTATCATTTATTGAACTTTAATACCGTGATAGGAAATAGGGTGAGGGGTCCTTACTTGTTTCGGGGTCTGAATACGGCTCTACAGTGTGCCTACAGGCTGTTCCTAATTTTTTCTGAATTTTTTCCGGGGAGCTGAAACGCACTACTAGTACCTGCACGTGTCCCAAAAATCCCAAATTAGGCCTAGGGTCCATTTCGGCCAATATCGCAATTCCGGCACGGCAGCTCTGCCGTGCTCCGGTGACGGGCGACGGCGATTCGCCTCGGGTTGGCCATTTTCGGCCGTTTCTGGCTGAATTCGGCCACACTTGCATCGGTCCCTGCGATAAAACAACCCTAAGGCCCTCGGTGGGCCAAAAAATACGAAAAACTGAAGCTTACCGGCGGTGGTGCTCTCGGGTGCGGTGGCTCTCCGGTGTGAATCGTGTTTTGGTGATTTGGCTCCGATCAACCTGTAGAGAAAAGAACGGTGATCACAGTGGTATAAAATTTGCATCGAACGGAGGCCGGGAAGGGCCTCATCGGAGGCAAAAATCGAGGAGGGGCGCAGCGGCGCCGCTGGGTTTCGGCTAAGTTTTTCAGCTGTTTGGCCGGTGGTTTGGCTCCGGTTTGGCCATAGGCGGACTCAGCGTCGAAAAACAAGTAAGGGAGAGAAAAATTACCTCAATCAGCGGTCGAAAATTTCCCCAGTGCGGCGGCGGGTAGTGGCGGCCGGCTCCTCCGGCGACTGGTTCTTCTTCTCCGGCGAGCACTGGCAGCTAGGGTTTCTTTGGTCAGGTGTGGGTGGGGGTATTTATACCCTTCGCCTTTTAATCTTGACCATCCATCAAGATTGAATCTGGGCCGTTCGATCGCGATTTAATTGGGATTAAATCTGGGCCGTTCATCGCGATGCAATCTGGGTCGTCTGTGCCTGATTGAATCTGGGCCGTCCGTGCGCGTGAATCTAGGCCGTCCGTGCGCACGTTTGATCTTGGTCGTCCGTGCGCACGGGAACAGATCTGGGCTGTCCAATCGCGCGCACGCAGATCGCCCCCGTGGCCCGTCCCCTGGTCAGCGTGTCCTTGCCACGCGGCGCGTCCTGATTGGCCGGGGCTGCTGACCGAGCCGCTGACGTGGTGCTGACATGACACAACTTTTCTAAATTACGTTTTGACCTCTGGTTTCAGATTTTCTTTTCAAAAACACCCCCAGAACCCAAATTTTCACCCATTTTTCCCAAAATCAATTTCAATTAAATCCAAATAATATTTTTACCCAATTTTATCATCATTATTATTTTTATTTTTATTAAATTAAATTAAATAAATCAATTAAAATTTTAATAATTACAAAATAAACTAAATAAAATAAATTAAAAATTAATAATAATAATAATAAAATTAATAGGTGTTACAACTCTCCCCCCTTAAAGAAATTTGGTCCCCCAAATTTGCATCTTACTCTTGGTCGAACAAATGGGGATACTGGGCTCTAAATTCTGATTTCAGCTCCCAAGTAGCCTCCCTGGGCGTGTGGTTCTGCCACACGACCTTTACAAATGATATTTCTCGGTTGCGGAGTATTCTGTTCTTTCGGTCCGTGATATCGACCGGTACTTCTTCATAAAACAAGTCCTCTTGGAGTGGAAGCGGTTCATGAGCCAAGACATGAGAAGGGTCCAGGTTGTACTTACGTAGCATAGATACGTGAAACACGTTGTGGACTCTGGAGAGCTCGGGAGGCAGTGCTAGTCTGTAGGCAGCGGTACCAATCCTGTCTAAGATTTCAAAGGGTCCAATATATCGGGGGTTTAATTTTCCCCTCCTACCAAACCTACTAATTCCCCTGAAAGGAGTGACCTTAAGAAACACACGGTCGCCTTTCTCAAACGCTAGGTCTCTCCTCCGGATATCTGCATAACTCTTCTGCCTACTCTGAGCTGTCTGAATGTTCTTCTTGATTTTAATTATCCTGGACGTGGTCTCCTCTACCAACTTCGGGCCGAACAATCTTCTATCGCCCACTTCCTCCTAACAAATCGG